AATCACAATTCAAATTCTAGTGGGTTACTCAAAAATTAAAAAAAAATTAATAATCTATCTATAATATTTTGATTTTATTGTGGCTGAAAAAGAGGATATTACAAATATTCTGGTAAGAGAATTTCTAAGAAACGTAATTATTTGCCAAGTAGTTATATTTATTCGTGTTCCTGATAAGTCAATTTATTTTACTTCGAAGTTTAAACTAAAGCGAATGCAGCTTCCAAAAGCAAACGTTATAAATCTTTATTTAAGATTTTAAAATGTTCTTAGTTTGCTTCTCGCATTTGTAAAACTTTTAACTGGTGAAAATAGATATATCGCGGAACAAAAGCGAAGAAAAATTAGTACAAATATGCATATATTAATATAAAAAAAACCAATATAAATCAATGTTTAGCGAGGCAAGCATTTTTGTTATAGGTTATCAGCTCAGTCCAGGTTTGCGTAGGCAGCTCACAGTAAATAAACTTCGGTGAAATTGCTTTTATAAATCATAATTTTCAAAGTTATGTATATTACAGTTTTTACTATATCGTATGATTCTTTCCACATAATGTCATTAATAAATAAAAATAATAATAAATAACTAAGATGCTACTTGCCATTTTTTAATAAATGTTTTTTATAAAAGACAATTTTTTGTGAAAAAATAATTAATGAGTCAAATCGATTTAATAAATATCTAAAGAAAACAATTTATCTTTAGCAAAACTCTAAGCAGTTTGACGATGTATTGATTATTCTTTTGAAAGCTTTTTTAGTTATTTAGTACTCCTACACATTCTTTTCATCACAGAAAATGTTATTTTAAGACGGATTAATTTTTAATTAATTTAGTAGCACATTTTCTGTTATTTTTATTTGTAAACCAGTCAAGACGCGACAATCGTCGTCGCAAAATGCAAAATTTGTAAAAACGCCCAATGTTATATTCTTGTGAATTGAGCATTTTGTAAATTTAAAGACGTTCGTACAAAAGCCATAAAATAAAATAATTCCATTTTCCAAGTCCTTGTGTTATGAGCTGTCAACTACCTGCTGCTTGCAATAAAGGCTGACAAATTTATGTGGATGATGAACGATCATTTATTATTTATTTATCTTGCTTTCACCGTTTCAAACACAGTTAAAGGAAATAATGCTATTAGTGTAACAAAATTTCTCCACTAACATAATAACACCGCTAATAGAAATTGCCAATTTTCGTTATTAATTTCGGGACATGTGCAATAGCGATCTGGCATTTCTTAGGCGCGAATTTAATTAAAATTAGCTTACGAGTAGAAACGCTAATTAATCTCGAATGGATATGCTTCCAACAAAATATATTAGGAGATAATGAAATTATCGTAGTAACTATTGTGCTATGTCGTACCTCGTTTAATTCGGTCGCCTCCAGGTTACCATTGTTGTTGCTGTCATAATGGGAGAACATAATGGAAACCAAGTAATCTTTGCTATGGTTGTCCTGTGACATCAGCCTGGCATGGTTGTACAACAATAAATTATCCTAAAAACAATTTCGTTGTCGGTAAAAAGCCACTATATTGTTCGATGGCGGGGCTTACTTTCATTATTTCGTACTCCTGCATAGAGCAGTCTTCTTTGTCGTAAAGCACCCCATCTCCCTTTTCTCTCCCGTAGTCAATCTCATTTTCCATGTAGTTTGTTTCTTCCATCCTTGTCGGGGAAGGTGGCACGTCAGATGTCTGAAAAACCTTTATCAACAACTAATTTTCTTTTTTAGTTTATGCTGAATAAAATCACCAAGAATTTGTTATTTTTTTGTCACAAGAAACATTAAAACGATTAGAATTATTGTCTCACCCGGTATGAGAATTTATCGATTACAAACCTCTTAACCTACTCGCCTTTCTCTGCTATTTTTAGAGCGGTTAACTATTTATAGTCTCGTTAAAAATTAATCTACGTTTTTCCTTAGATTTTTCATTCTTAGGTCCCTGGTATAAAATGCTTTATCGCCCAGAGACTTACTATGTGAATATTTATGAACGATGGCAGCTTCACCACAGCATACCTCAATATTTATAAGCATTACTTTAAATTGTTTGGACATGAATTTTTATTAGAACTGTTAATTATTATTTATAATAATTTTCTTGAAAAGCACGTTTTCCATATAGATGAAATTTTTTTTATAGTATTAGGTTTACAAATTAATACAGCATTAGTCGATTTTTTTGCGAAGTTATTCCGTTTATACTCGTAAGTATTTTATAAATTTGATAATTTACATAAAAACAAATTTGTTAGCATTCTGTAGGCCAAAAAATTTTGAAATTATATCGGGCAATATTCCCTTTAGAAACCTGCAAAAATGTATTAAATAGAGATATTCCGAAATTGATTCTTTGTGTTTTTTTACAGCTTTAGCGCTTATTGATTTATAAAACATTGTTTTGCAAAAAGCATAATTGGTTTTACTATTTGTTTCAAAAAATATTTAATTATTAATTAATTAGGCCAACAATTGTTTATAAACTCTACATAAAATAACATAACCTTTAATTGGTTCCTTTTCTGTAAATATTTTGATCCCTAATTAGATTTAAATAGTCAGCCAAAAAATCTTTTCATAAAAACTGAATTAAAAAAATCATTTTACATCAAATAATTTATACAGTATGATGAAACAAAGACGCCGGTGTTAACCCACACGTTATAAGTGATCTTTTATTAAAGACGAATTTGAAGACCAAAATTGGATTTGTGCTCTTATCAGTAAGATATAGACTTTCCTTTTTAGAAAAGAGAAATCTATATAATTAACAGTTTTAAAATAATTTCATTGTTAAAGTCAGATTTTGATACTGTTGACGGTGATCTTAAAAAAACTGTGTAAAAAGTTTATTGAAATAAACTTTATTGAAGATGTTTGGATACCATTTCTTGGCCCCAAAGAAAATTTATCAATGTCGCAACATTGCAAATATCCTAGGATACAGAAAATGTCCAAGCAATATTCAATTATTGGAAACGGTAGCAACAAAAAACATCAATTTTCAATGTTGTTTGTTCTGTGAAATTTGAACGATTAAAGTTAAAAAGGTTTCCTAGATACGAAAAATACCTGAGTAAAATAGTTTTTTAGTAAAAGAAATTTGTGCAATATTGCCGCTTTGTGTTGTTAGACAAACTGTTTAAATTTTAAAAAGAATCTATTTAGACTATTTTTGGAATGATGGTCACAATCTTTCAATAAAAAAGGACGCGCCTGTTTCAATCGTGGGCGCCTTTTTTTTATTACCCTGTATAGATTTATATAGATTTATTTATAAATTGTATATTAGTTTTTTTTTCAGTTATCAAAGTTTTGATAATCTTATTATAAGGTAGACTATTTAAAAAAAAACGTGTGTGGAAATAAAATAAAGTTTTCTTAAATACTAAAATGTGCTGAAATGTTTTATAAATTAAAGCTGTATTTTTCTGTTTTTCTCTACAAAAAGTTTCAAATTGTTTCAGTGTTGAAGATTTTGTTATAGCCATGTTATAAGTTGACGTTTATAAAAGCTAAGTTTTACTTATTAATCTGGGTTCAAACTAAAACGTTTGTGACATATTGCATAACTCAATTTATGTTGAAAAGAAATTTTGACTGAACAAAAAATTTTGCTAATAAATAATTTAGTGAGTACTTTAGTTTAGATTTTAATTTTTGATCAAAAACAACATTAAGTCAAGCAAATTTTTAATAAATGTCTTGTTCTAACTTTAACATAAACTGTCACGTTACAAAGATAACATTTAACAATTTAATTAATAGCAAATTGTCTGTTTAATTTAAATATTCAACTACTGTAATATTTTATAAAATATTTTTAATATTTTAGACAAATAGTCAGTTTTCAGCGACAAATATTATTAAATAATATTATTAATTTAACTATATACCAATACTGACTAGGTTAAATATATTTATGAATAACTAACAAATAATTCGATATTTTGTTTGCGACAGACAAAATAAAGTTTATCTAAAATTATGACTTGATTTTTTGAGTTTGCTTTATTAATAAATTAAGCTACGAGTGTTAATTTTGCTTTTATGTTTGATGTGAAAACATAAATTTATTTTTGGTTTTAATAAAAAGTTGTTAATTATTTGGTTTTGGTTTGATTTGGTTTTGATTTGGTTTCGTTAGATTAAAAAACTACGGTACATGGCGTAAAGTTTAATAAAATCACATTAACGTGATTTTATTCTTCGACACTGTCAAAATTTACGGTTTTTCTCCCGTGTAAGGAAGTTTTGACAACTGTTTGGCATTTCTCAATACAAAAGGTCAAATTATTTTTAACAGATTTAAAGCAAGTTTAAACCTTGTTGACTCTAATTCGAAGAATAAAATGTTGTATTCCACTCGTTTGACTGTAAATCGGACGCTTTATTCCACCTCGTGGATGGTAAACCACTCGTTACACTCGTGGTATAAAAATCCACTCGGTCAAATAAAGATTTCGATTTACACTCAAACTCGTCGAATAAATAACTATAATTTTTTTCTACGTCAAATAAATAAAAATGAAATACGCGACAGTTGAAACATAATAAAAAATTATGCACTTTGTTAAATTTGGTGGACGCGCCGGGCTAATTTCAAAATAGTTTTTAAGATTTTTTAACTCAAAATTTTGTAGGGCACAACTTTAATAAGATTACATTGACGTCACTTTACTTTTTATAAGCTAAATAACAAAAAATTGAAACACGCGACAGTTGAAATAATAAAAAAATATGCATTTTGTAAAATTTGGTGAATGCGCCGAGCTAATTTCAAAATATTTTTAACTCAAAATTTTGTTGTTTTGTATGGCGCAAATTTGTTTCACGTTTCTCGTTTTGTGGAGTAAATCCAGCCTACTTTTAAATCTCATCCGAACATGTAACTCACTAAAAGGAAGTTGGCATCTTTAGTTGGTGTGACTTGCACAGCCTCCGGAATGCTTTGTGTGTAAGTTCCCGTTGTGGCATCATGGGTTTCCTGTTCCGGGACCGCAGTGGCGAACTGATTGAAATATAAGTTCGTGTGCTGCACCGATGGGGCCCAACCCTTTCCTGTAAATTGTCCAATGTAGAGCAACGTAAGCGCCAGTTATCTACCATCCTTTAATCTACATGCATTATTATAAATTACTTTAACGAGCAAAAGTTGGCGGTGATGTTCATCCGCCCATGCCATGTGCACCCACGACACTCCGCTTCCATTTGCATATGGCTGCTTCCACCGCAATTAAATCATTTCGTGTTAAAACTGCTGTGATAAATGGTAATTACAATTTTTTTTTATTATAAAAGAGTTGCCAAACACTGAGTCATAATTTCAACGAGTTAATCAAAGGGAACATTATATCATTATTTTTCAAAAGCTACGTTAATACTAAGTAGAGAGAACTGAAAAGTAATCTAGATTACAGCTTTGCATGGAAAATAATCGTAATAATAATTTTTGATCAATGATAACGTAAACACAATGGTTACACAGTTTTAATTAAATGAAAGACCAGTGGTCATGCACAAGAAAGTAGAAAATGGAATGAGTTGTTTTAATGACAAACTTAATCAAAGCAGAAAGCTCTTTGTTTAAAACTTTTTATATGTTCTATGGTTCTCATGTGTGATAAAATAGCAGCAATTATTTTACTACATACTTAAGAAAGAAGGAAAAACCTTGGAAATGTTTTTTTTCTATGTCTAAACATCTTTTGTAAATATTTACTTTCCATTAAAATAATTTGTTATATTTGGTGGATGCGCCGGGCTAATTTTAAAATATTTCTCAAAATTTTTAACTTAAAATTTTGTTGTTTTGTATGGCACAAGTTTTACATTATTACATTGACGTTATTTTATTTTTTATACGCTATATAAAAAAAATTGAAATACGCGACAGCTGAAACAAAAATTATTAATTTTGTTAAATTTGGTGGATGCGCAGGGCTAATTTCAAAATATTTTTCAATATATTTTAACTCAAAATTTTGTTGTTTTGTATGGCACAAGTTTTTTTTCTATGTCTAAACATCTTTTGTAGGTATTTATTTTCCATTAAAATAATAGTGTATTTTGATTYAATTTAATTTAATAGCTGTCTCTTTTAGGACATATAACAACATTATAGATTTTCTAAATGAAGTATTACAAGAAAAAGTATGAACAATAGTTATTTACGTTAACGTGGAAGTAGACTAGTAGTGTAAATRAGCAGATGTATTTAAGCTGTCTCTAATAAATAAATTATGTTTTTGTCAGTGGTTTATTTGCGCACTTTTGTACTGCGCACAATCAGGCAAGGGATCCTTTGTTAAGAAAAGAACAATTATTTAGCTACTACCAGTAATGGATTAAACTTGCAATAAAACGCACAATGGAGGTAATAAAATTTCCCCGAATTTATATTTACCATTCATCACCAATATGTTTTTCTAAATGCAGCACTTATTGGTTTGCAAAAATGAAAAGCGCTCGCAACGTAGAATCCAATTAGGTAGATTACCGTGTTTGATGCAGTGCACTCCTCTTTCTACGGTAATATCAGTGGCGGTCATGCAGGAAGCTCTGTGTAATTCGCAGTGGTTGGGGTAAACGTGGCCATCGGAGCCACAAACCAACCTCCGATGCACGGCACATTGCTTCTGACAGACACACGTCGCTTCGCCATTTTCGACGACGCATTCTCTTCCTTTCATACAATAGTGCACCAGGCAGGGATCTACAACAATATAATATTAACACCATCAACATGATTTATGTTGACACTGTGCAAGCTGCAAAATTGATCGCAGAAACAATAAAACTAGATTATAGCTTCTAAATCATGAGTCTGGTCTAAGTGAGTGTCCTGAGTCACGTTCCTAAAGTAGATGAGAGAATATGACAGAAATGTGCTCGCAATTGTTCTCTATTGAAGTGGATTTAAATTTGTCTGCACGGAATTTGTATGTACTATTTACGCCACTCATAGTTACAGGAGAAAATTGTCTTTAAAATGAGAAATAAAAGCAACGTTTTCTATCATATCATTGCAAAAATGCATAATTCAAAATTGGCCGTTAATAACGCAGATAATAACTAAGTAAATTTTTCACAAATAATAATAAGATTTTTTAGCCCAAAATTTTGTTATTTTGTATGGCATAAGTTTAATAAAACTACATTAACGTTATTTTATTTTTTATACGCTTAATAAAAACAATAAAAATACGCGACAGTTGAAACATAATTAGAAAATTTGCATTTTGTGCAATTTGGTGGATGCGCCGGGCTAATTTCAAAATATTTCTTAAGATTTTTTTAACTCAAAATTTTATTGTTTTGTACGGCACAAGTTTAATAAAATTACATTGACGTTATTTTATTTATTATACGCTAAATAAAAAGAAGAAATACGCGACAGTTGAAACATGATAAAGCATTAAGCATTTTGTTAAATTTGCTGGACGCGCCGGGCTAATTTCAAAATATTTTTTAAGATTTTTTAATTCAAAATTTTGTTGTTTTGTATGGCACAAGTTTAATAAAATTACGTTGACGTTATTGCATTTTTTATACTCTAAATAAAAAAAAATTGAAATACGCGACAGTTAAAACATAATAAAAAAAATATGCATTTTGTTAAATTTGGTGGTAAAACTAGATTATAGCTTTTAAATCATGAGTCTGGTCTAAGTTAGTGTCCTGAGTCACGTTCCTAAAGTAGATGAGAGAATATGACAGAAATGTGCTCGCAATTGTTTTCTATTGAAGCGGATTTAAATTTGTCTGCACGGAATTTGTATGTACTATTTACGCCACTCATAGTCACGAGAGAAAATTGTCTTTAAAATGGGAAATAACAGCAACATTTTCTCTCACATTATTGCAAAAATGTATACACTGTGTCAATTTTAAAACTTGCAATCGGCAATTTCTCTCAACTGAAAAAGTCATTAATAATCACTCAAAACCGTTTTGGTGGTTCCTAGGGGGAATTAAAATGACATGATAAGTGACACACCTCCACCCACCCTTGAAAATAATAAAAAAAATGAAAATTTAACGTCTTCGTTTTTGAATAATTGTAAAAATGGCTTTACCAAATAGGTTGTTGTATGACATTTTTGAAAAGCACTTGTTATGGGCTTATGGGCTGAGGAGCGTCACTTACCATGCCATTTTGATTCCCCCTAAAAACCACCGAGACGGTTTTGAGTGATTCTCAATAACTTTTTTAGTTCTAGAAATATTGCCGATTGCAAGTTTTAAAATTGACACCCTGTATTATGTAAATAAATATTAATAATGACGAATTTTCACAAAATACAAAATTGGCCGTTAAAAACGCAGACAATCTTTTTATACACTAAGAATTTAGTGATTTACGTATTCATTAAATTGTCTTACCGAATTACACTCAAGCTTTTTTTTATGAAGAAAAGTTGACATTTTTAATTCGAGTTTTGTTTCCTTTAGGTAATTTAGCTCAAAATACTGCTAACTAATTTTTTCAGAAGCAGTTTTTTTCGTTAAATTTCCAGAAAACAAAATTCTCATTAACATATTAAGTTTACTTCGAAAAGAAAAGCTCTCGTGTAATTATAAATGATAATAAATAAGTTATTTTTTCACAAATAAGTTGAAACAAATTCTTATTCTTTTATAGGATTCTATTAACGTATCTTAAGAGAAATTGTTTAAGTAGGATACATATTTTTGGAAATTTTATAATGATAGATGTAATGTGCTGCAAAAAATACCTCCTATTTTTTCGTGATTGTGAAAACAAATAAAAAAGATTTGTGTGTATGTTATTTATTTTGTGACTTTGGAGATTTGCATCTCATAGATTCGACAAAATTTGAAGGAAACTGACTCAAAGTGGATTCGATTTCAATCCAAAGTTAAAACTAATTGGATTCGATTTTCCACATTGAGAATAACAAGAAAACATTGAATACGTGTGGAAAAACACAGGACATACCACGTTTCAGTTTTTTTATTTATCATAAAGAAATTGTATATTTAGTATATGTATATACAGAGTGTCCCATCGAGTTGGTAAAGTTTATTAGTGACCCTTAAATGGTAAAATTTAAAAAAATATATATATACAACATTGATAGATACAGCGCCAGCGTGTCCCAAAAATAAGTTACAATACAAACTTGTGTTTTTTTAACGAAACATCACATATTTCCTTAGCATTTTTGGATGTAGATTTTTATGATATTGTTTTTAAGCTAAACTTTTATTGGCCGATTTTGCTTAGTTTTAAAAATAAGACGGCTTTTTTGACGAAAACATGCACTTTTTAAAAATTTATAACACAAAAACTAAAACAGCTAGAAATATATTTTTTTTACAACCGCAAAGAAGAAGGTACAACCTRTAAAGCTTTAATTTGTTGCATTTGGAAAAATAAAAAAATGAAGACGTCTGTTAAAAGTTTAATAACTTAAAAAATTTAAATGGAACACCCTATTT